TGCGGTGCCCAAACTCATAGAAAGGATCTCCATTTACCACCACCTGGTCGGCAGGGGAAAGGTCAGAGTCAGCACCCCTGACCTTGGCGAGGCAGAAACAGGAAGCAGGGAACAGGGGATCTTCTTAACTTGGGCTCAGAAGTCCTGGGGATGAGCTGAGATAGCCTCAGAGTCAGGGACCTTGGAGTTTGCATGTCAGAGGTCAAGCCAGGGTCAAAGGTCAGCTCACAGGTTAGTGAGTGGGAGAGGAGAAGGAGGTTAGTCTGGGGATGGGGATCAGGAGAGAATCAAGTCTAAGTCCTGGTTTTGGCACCAAATGAGCTGGGTTTGAGGTGTAGCTCTGACATGCCTTAGCTGTGTGACCTTGGGTTAGCCACTTCCCCTCTCTGAGTCTTTGATTCCTCATTTGTACAGTGGGGCTCACACTCGGACGTCTGGGTAGATTAAACCTGGCATGGCACTCAAAGGCACTGTGCAAATCCTGTGTAGGCCAGTGTCCTGTAAGTCACCACAGTTCCATCCCTAATGCTAAGCGGTGGGCAGGGGCTTGGGATCCAGCTCCCAGGACCGAGTCCTTCCTACACGCTGAACACTTCACACGTGGACGTCAACATGGCAATTCTCTCAACAGCTCCGTGAGGCAGGGAGAGGGACCGTCCCTGCTGTTCAGGAAAGCTGAGGCTTCAGGCAGCAGTGACCAGCTCAAACTCACACACTGGGGACCCACAAAGTGCAGACTCCACTCCTTGTCTGCCCGACCTCAAACCACACTGTGACCCTCCGTGATGTGGGGAGAGATCTGGTGCCCAGAGGAGGGCAAATAAAGTCCAGGCAGGTTCTCCCACCAGGAGATTCATCACGTGGGTCATTTGAGAATGACTGTGCACAAGGATGTCACTACAGCACCATTTATAAGGAGCCAGAAGTGGGGATGGACTGAGTTGAGAGTGGGCACTCAGAGTCCTGCACAGCCACCAGAAGGCACAGAGCAGGCGTGACAGAGCAGCCCGGGGCTCCAACACCGAAGTGATGTGTGAGCAAAGGAGCAGAAGGGATGGCACAGCTCCAAGGACAGACATGCTCAAATCACCAAAGACATGGGGACCATCCAGGCTGGGAGAGGTCAGGGTAAAGGCCACCTTGGGACCAGGGGCCAGGGAGGGACATGAGGGGGTTGGGGACTGGAGGGGTTCAATTTCTGGCTAGGCACTGGGTGCACGGGTGTTTCTGTTTGTGAGAAACCAGGAGCCGTGCCCATGGGTGTGCACTTTATTGGGTGTGGATGCACTTCTCACATAGATAAAAAGATGCTTATGCACTAGCCATCAATCACGATGTGTGGGTTTAATCTGGGGCCTGATCAAACCAGCTGTAGCTAACAGCGAGCGATGGCATTTACATGGTAACTGGAACACTGGCTGGCTGTGTGGGGGCATGAAGGAAGGCCTGTGAAGTTTGTAGGTGTGCTCATGGCATTGTAAGTGTGTTTTTAAAACAGAAATATTTATGAATGAAATTATCGGAAACCTGGGATTTTCTTTTAAATAATAGGGGAGAGAAAGTGTGGGGTAAGGCTGAAAGCCTAGGTGCTTGAGTAACCACTGCAGAGCCCCAGGCGAGGAGAAGCTCACCGTGTTCTGTGCTTCCTTCTGTTGGAGCAGGGCTCCCTCTAAGAAAGAGCAAAACTACACACTTCACAAGAACACAGAGGAATGGGATGATAAGATTAAACAAAAGGCTCTCTGTGGGTAATAGGAATGAATAGACAAGAAAGAAGAAAAAAAAGTCAGGTAGAAAGGGCACGGGTGGGGGGGAAGGGAAGGGAGGCGCCTCACTGGGGCTCTGACCTTGTAGTGCTCGGTGAGGACTAGGAACACCAGCTCGAAGGGGGTGCCCTTGTGGAAAGGCATGCTCCTTTTCTTCTCTTCTTTGCCCCACTTGCCGCCCTGGTACGAGTTGAAGACCACCTTGTCCCAGCCATCAAAACGGGGATTGAAGTGGAAGGCAATGTCATCTCCAGAGCCATGCCCCGCCACGAAATTCACAAAGAACCTGGCAGGACAGGAAGGGCTGTGCTCCTGGCCCCATCTGCCAGCTCACAGGGCCTCTCCGTCCCACCGTGTTCCAGGGTTCCTGACACGAGGCACCCTTGGCACTGTTGACTCAAAGGGGATGGGGAGGTCAATCGTGCCCCTGAACTCCAGGAGCAGATTCCCTCGGCCACTCCTTTGCTCGCTTCCTTTCTTACTGGGCTGCCCTCCCCGCCCTGCAACCCCTGCTCCCCGCACCCCACCACTGCCTCTGCCCAGCTTCAGATAGGACTGCAGCTGGGACTCCTGCATTTCCACATTCACCTTGGGTCACGCACAGTCCTAGGAAGCCTACACCTATCAGTTCAGGCTTCTCTGTTCGTTCCTGAGTCCCACAGGCCACTCCCCACGTGCAGCCAGAGGGAAGGTACACCGAGTCAGAGCAGGTTCCACACCGCCCCTCACACCAGCAGCCCTGGTGATTCCAATGCGCAGCCACACACCTGTCCCAGGGCCTTTGCCCTGGCTGTTCTTTCTGCCTGGCACACCTTTCTTCAGATACACCCCAGGCTCCCTCCCTCATTTCCATCAGCTCTTTCCTGAGAAGTTCCCTTCCCAGGGAAGCCTTCCTTGGTCACCCTATATAAAAGGGCAATGCCTCTCCCCACTCCCCTATACCCACTCCCCATCTCTCTTTCCTCCTTGCTTGTCTCCATGGCACAATCACTATCTGACATATTATATATTTGACTTATTTATTTTTTTGTCAGTCTCCTCTACTAGGATCTCAGCTCCATGAGGGCAGAGATCTCTGTCCTGTTGACTGCTATGCCCCAGTGCCTAGGCACAAAGTAGGCACCGAATGAGCAAAGAAACAATGAATAAAGAAGCTCAATCCCATGTGGTCACAATTCAATTGTTCTTGCCATTTTAAGGCCATACAAAAAGCTAAGATTCATTTTAGCACTTATCTCCCAGTTCTACATGTTTTACACATTGAATCCTCTAAATAGTCCCGTGGTACAGATGGGATCTAAAGCAGAGAGGTACTGTGCCTTTCCCAATCACACAGCCAGTGACACAGCTGGTCCAGCTCTGAGCCTGTGATCGTAATGCGTGCTATCATGCCTATCAGTTCCAATCCAATGTCCCAACTCTGGGGCCACCCTCACGGCAAGCCTCCCAGGCCAGCTGGTCTTTGGCCATCCGGTGCAATGAAAGCCCCTGCCCCAGCTAGGGTGGAGGAAGGGAGGAAGGCCTCCACCCAGGCAGGAGACCCCATTTATAGACCCCCTCCCAGCCTGGCCTGGCATGGGGAACACTTACCTCTTCATGTGGTCCTTAGCCACTCCCTGGATGTAAATGGACATTCCGACACTGAGGCCACCTGGGATGGGCTTGTTGTAGGGCAGAGTCTGGGGAAGGGGCCAAGTGAGGGGTCTCAAAGGCCATTTGCCTATTGCAGACTTTAACCCTCAAGAAGCTCCCCACTCCCTTAAGCAAGGAAGAGGAAATTAAGGGGTAAGAGGTCATTGTGAAGATGAAGAGGGCCAAGAGTTAGGTATGGCCCTAAGTAGCATGAGGGTCAGTCAGGGTAGGAATAAATCAAGCTCCAGGGTCAGTATTGGGTAAATCAGACCCAAGGATCAGGTGGGCTCCTCCACAGATCAGGATGAGAACGAATTGGTATGTGGGGGTCAGGGTAGAACTAAACCAGGGTTTGGGGTTAGGGCGTGGGCCAGAGTCTCACCGGATTGTAGATGGGCTGGTAGCCCGGTGCAGGGACATAGGCCATCTTGAGAGGCTGGGCTGGTGGTTTGTCCTGTGGGAAGAGCTGCAGGAGTGGGGAATGGTGACAGATGGCAGGTGGTGGGTGGCTTTTATACCTGAGGGTGTGGGAGTGGCTGGCAGGGCAAGGTCGGTCCACAGGGTCTCTCATCTGGACACCCTGGCTCACACCTTTTTCTAAGGTACCCCTGTCCTCCTTCTTTTACTAGGATCACTGGTAACCACCCAGAACCCAGATCATCTGGGCCGGGCCTGGGGGACTCAGATCAGGACCCCCTCCTCTAGGCCCTTCTGCAAAGAGGAAGCACTAGTGAACTTGGACCCTGCCAGGGCCTTATCAGAACCCATAAAAGCCTGCCCAGATCTTTGTTAGCAGGGTGAGGCCAGAAGGGTTGGGCGGGACAAGGCTGCAGGAGTGGCCCAGGACAGATGGGCAATGGAAGTGAGTGAAAACAGGGAGAAAATGGGTGCTCCTGACACTCCCGGGAGCTGTGAAAGGACATAAATTTATTGCATGCCTTTACCATGTACATTCTATCGTATATATAGTGGTTTAGGTCACTGACCTCAGAGTTTCTGGGCTCAAATCCTGCCTCTGCCACTTCCTGGCTGTGTGATCTTAGGTCAGTACCTTAACCCCAATTTGCCTATCTGCCCATCAGTAAAATGGAGATATTAATAGTAAAAAACCTCACAGGGTACTTGCAAAGAATCATTAACAAATTTAGAACAGGACTTGGTGTATATAGGAGGCACTAAATTAATGCTTAGTCTCTTGTACTCATTCCAAACATAAATCCAGGCAGTTGGAATTATACATCTGAAAACCTGAAGCTTAAAGAGAGAAAGCTAGATAGCAGTGGAACTCTAGCCAGAGTCCAGCACCAGATCCCACCATGCTATGCAGAGAGCTGTGCCAGGCAGGGTGAACTGGCAGAGCGGCCATCTGTAGCTATTCAGCCCAGAGGAGGCCATGTGACTTTGTTTGCTCCACCCCTGGCAGACTTCCTATTGGCCCTGGCCTGCCCACCGCCAGCCCTGAATGGTCATCACCTGCGTGGTTCCCATTCCCATTAGTTAAATCTCTATCCCCAACTTTCAGCACAATTAGTGGTCCTTTAAGCCCCCAGGTGCATCTTAGCCCAGTTCTACCTCTCCTCTCTCTCCAGTAAGGACACCAGGTCTTTTATATTGCTTTATTATTCATGCGGTGACGATAACAACCTAGGCTAAAAAAAAGTTTTAAACTGGGAGACTGGGTAAGAAAGTGATGCGGTCATTAATCCTCCCTCTTTGTGGATGAGCAAACGCTGGCACCAGATGAGGCAAAGCCAGATCTGGGCTAGGAAATGGGACGCGGAGGTTCTCAGAGCTTGGAGAAGGTGACGCTGTCCAAGTCCTTCTTCTCCATTACGGCCTGAACTGACTTGGGGATGTCCTCCGTTTGCAGCATGCTCATGTTCCAGGAAGTCTGGACAAGGAGGATGGGAAAATGTCAAGGATGGCGGAAGACAGCAGTTGAACCAATGATAAATGGGAGGGAGATAGCAGCGCACCAATCAGAGGACAAGGCCTTCAGAGGGCTGCTGGACCCTGATTGGTCGCTCTGGGATCAGGCATTGGTGGCAGGGAGAGCCTCACCATGTAGTTGAGGCCGTCAGCCACCGAGTGGTCGCGGGAGTAGAGCAGGTTGACTTTGGTGCCCTGCACTGCTAAGGGGCTCTTGCTGGAAATCTCCGCAGCCAAGGCAAAGGCCGAGTCAAGCATAGTCTCCTTGTCTGGGAACATCCGGCTGTGGGTAAACGGAACTGGGAATCAGGTGATCTGAGAAGGCTTCTTCTCCCTTCCTCCCAAGGATGAAGAAGTGGCTGATCACAGTAGAAAGCGGAAGACCCCAGTGAAATGGACCAGTCAGAGCAAGGCACTAGGCTACAGAATAAAAAACGAACCACCCAGAGAGAGGAAGCCACGAGAGGGCATACACTGGGACCCAGAGGGCACCACCCAGGCCTGCTTGCCCCTTAACCAGCTCAGATATCTGCCCCTACCTGACCAGCCCACTGCTCAGGGCCTCATCAGCCATCATCTTGCGGGCAGTGAAGGCCAGCTCGTTGACCAGGCTGCAAGAGGGCAGGGCGTGTCAGGGGATGGCAGTCACCCTGGGGTTCAGGTAATACCCTGCAGCCCCGTCCCCGGGGCTCTCCCCACCCACCTCTGGCTCCCGATGATTCTGGGCAGTCGCTGCAGCGTTCCTACATCTGCTGCCAAACCTATGTCCACCTCCTGGGGGAGCAATCATGTCAGTGCTTAGTTTGTGCCCAGAATTGCCCCCCATGCAACCTAAGTGCCCATGAAATTCTACTTTTACTGCATTACCCACTCCACCCCTACCCGAGACTCCCCGACAAAGGCCTCATTTCATTCCATTCGCATACTTTGGCCCCTGTAGGTTGCTTCAGTCTAGAATAGAACCCACCTTCCAGTTGCTCTTCCTTTTAGTTCATCGGGGTCAGCATGTCCACCTAGAGGGAAGCCCTCAAACCCTGTCCCTCTGACTACCTTAGTGCATCCATGGGCTCCACCCTGCCTCTGTCTCCAGCACTGACCCCGACAGCACCCCCAGGCCTCATCCCTGGCCCCAATACCGTTACTCACTCCTGACCTCACCTGGACTGCATGATCTACCCTCGGCTTCCTTCATGGCCAAGTGTTACTTTTAGGGTTCAATTCTAACTTCTTCCATGAAGCCCTCCAGGCTCACTCCAGGCCTGCTTTCCCCACTCCCATCATGTTAGCCTGGGCTGTCCCTGCTCTGCCCCTGCTCTGCCACTCACTGCTCAGCTCTAAGCAGGACCCCAGGAAGCAGAAGCTTGGAGGATGACTCACCTTCACCTGGAAGAAGGCATCCTGAGCACAGTACCGGATGTCACAGGCGGTGATGAGGTCCACACCTGGGAAGCAAAGGCCAGAGACCCTAAACCACAAAGACCAACCCCTCCTCACAGGTGCTGGGACTAAACCTTGGGACAAAGTCTAAGTAGCAACAGATCTGAGGTTGGAGGCCATTGATTGAAGTGAAGGGGCAGCAGCCAATAGGCGTGCACAGCCAGGGTGAGGGCCCAGATGGCTGGTGAGCAACTGTAGACTTACCTCCGCCAATGCAGGCCCCATGGATGGCCGCAATCACCGGCTTAGGACACTGGGAGGGAACAGGAGACTTGCGGTCAGGACTGACCCAGGAGAGGTGCACAGAGGCAATGCCCTACCAGCCCCCAGGGGCACCTTCTCGATGACACTGAAGGTCTCTTGATATCCGGTGATAAGGTTACGCAGATGCCAGCTGCTGCGGGCCACATCATCGCCTCGGGGTTGAAAGAAGTCCGAAGCGAGGTCCATGAGGTCGATACCTGGTGTGGAGGTGTGAGGAGGCTCACATGGCCTCCCAGGCCCCACCCGTTGCCCCAGATAGAGGTCAGAACCCAGACTCAGCCGATGTGGAACCCCAAACGGCCTCAGCAGAGAGAGCAACTCACACAGGGCTTATGGAGGAATTGAACATGGGTGTGTGTGAAATAAAAAACAGCTGACATTTCTTGAGTCATTATTTGACAAATTGCTGTTTATCCCCAGGGCAACCCTATGACATGGGTCCCACTACCACCTCGATCCTACCAGGGGTAAACTGAGGCTCGGGGTGTTTAAGTAACTTGACCAAGGTCACACTGGCTTGTTAAGGTCGGTCCACAGGGTCTCTCATCTGGACACCCTGGCTCACACCTTTTTCTAAGGTACCCCTGTCCTCCTTCTTTTACTAGGATCACTGGTAACCACCCAGAACCCAGATCATCTGGGCCGGGCCTGGGGGACTCAGATCAGGACCCCCTCCTCTAGGCCCTTCTGCAAAGAGGAAGCACTAGTGAACTTGGACCCTGCCAGGGCCTTATCAGAACCCATAAAAGCCTGCCCAGATCTTTGTTAGCAGGGTGAGGCCAGAAGGGTTGGGCGGGACAAGGCTGCAGGAGTGGCCCAGGACAGATGGGCAATGGAAGTGAGTGAAAACAGGGAGAAAATGGGTGCTCCTGACATTCCCGGGAGCTGTGAAAGGACATAAATTTATTGCATGCCTTTACCATGTACATTCTATCGTATATATAGTGGTTTAGGTCACTGACCTCAGAGTTTCTGGGCTCAAATCCTGCCTCTGCCACTTCCTGGCTGTGTGATCTTGGGTCAGTACCTTAACCCCAATTTGCCTATCTGCCCATCAGTAAAATGGAGATATTAATAGTAAAAAACCTCACAGGGTACTTGCAAAGAATCATTAACAAATTTAGAACAGGACTTGGTGTATATAGGAGGCACTAAATTAATGCTTAGTCTCTTGTACTCATTCCAAACATAAATCCAGGCAGTTGGAATTATACATCTGAAAACCTGAAGCTTAAAGAGAGAAAGCTAGATAGCAGTGGAACTCTAGCCAGAGTCCAGCACCAGATCCCACCATGCTATGCAGAGAGCTGTGCCAGGCAGGGTGAACTGGCAGAGCGGCCATCTGTAGCTATTCAGCCCAGAGGAGGCCATGTGACTTTGTTTGCTCCACCCCTGGCAGACTTCCTATTGGCCCTGGCCTGCCCACCGCCAGCCCTGAATGGTCATCACCTGCGTGGTTCCCATTCCCATTAGTTAAATCTCTATCCCCAACTTTCAGCACAATTAGTGGTCCTTTAAGCCCCCAGGTGCATCTTAGCCCAGTTCTACCTCTCCTCTCTCTCCAGTAAGGACACCAGGTCTTTTATATTGCTTTATTATTCATGCGGTGACGATAACAACCTAGGCTAAAAAAAAGTTTTAAACTGGGAGACTGGGTAAGAAAGTGATGCGGTCATTAATCCTCCCTCTTTGTGGATGAGCAAACGCTGGCACCAGATGAGGCAAAGCCAGATCTGGGCTAGGAAATGGGACGCGGAGGTTCTCAGAGCTTGGAGAAGGTGACGCTGTCCAAGTCCTTCTTCTCCATTACGGCCTGAACTGACTTGGGGATGTCCTCCGTTTGCAGCATGCTCATGTTCCAGGAAGTCTGGACAAGGAGGATGGGAAAATGTCAAGGATGGCGGAAGACAGCAGTTGAACCAATGATAAATGGGAGGGAGATAGCAGCGCACCAATCAGAGGACAAGGCCTTCAGAGGGCTGCTGGACCCTGATTGGTCGCTCTGGGATCAGGCATTGGTGGCAGGGAGAGCCTCACCATGTAGTTGAGGCCGTCAGCCACCGAGTGGTCGCGGGAGTAGAGCAGGTTGACTTTGGTGCCCTGCACTGCTAAGGGGCTCTTGCTGGAAATCTCCGCAGCCAAGGCAAAGGCCGAGTCAAGCATAGTCTCCTTGTCTGGGAACATCCGGCTGTGGGTAAACGGAACTGGGAATCAGGTGATCTGAGAAGGCTTCTTCTCCCTTCCTCCCAAGGATGAAGAAGTGGCTGATCACAGTAGAAAGCGGAAGACCCCAGTGAAATGGACCAGTCAGAGCAAGGCACTAGGCTACAGAATAAAAAACGAACCACCCAGAGAGAGGAAGCCACGAGAGGGCATACACTGGGACCCAGAGGGCACCACCCAGGCCTGCTTGCCCCTTAACCAGCTCAGATATCTGCCCCTACCTGACCAGCCCACTGCTCAGGGCCTCATCAGCCATCATCTTGCGGGCAGTGAAGGCCAGCTCGTTGACCAGGCTGCAAGAGGGCAGGGCGTGTCAGGGGATGGCAGTCACCCTGGGGTTCAGGTAATACCCTGCAGCCCCGTCCCCGGGGCTCTCCCCACCCACCTCTGGCTCCCGATGATTCTGGGCAGTCGCTGCAGCGTTCCTACATCTGCTGCCAAACCTATGTCCACCTCCTGGGGGAGCAATCATGTCAGTGCTTAGTTTGTGCCCAGAATTGCCCCCCATGCAACCTAAGTGCCCATGAAATTCTACTTTTACTGCATTACCCACTCCACCCCTACCCGAGACTCCCCGACAAAGGCCTCATTTCATTCCATTCGCATACTTTGGCCCCTGTAGGTTGCTTCAGTCTAGAATAGAACCCACCTTTCAGTTGCTCTTCCTTTTAGTTCATTGGGGTCAGCATGTCCACCTAGAGGGAAGCCCTCAAACCCTGTCCCTCTGACTACCTTAGTGCATCCATGGGCTCCACCCTGCCTCTGTCTCCAGCACTGACCCCGACAGCACCCCCAGGCCTCATCCCTGGCCCCAATACCGTTACTCACTCCTGACCTCACCTGGACTGCATGATCTACCCTCGACTTCCTTCATGGCCAAGTGTTACTTTTAGGGTTCAATTCTAACTTCTTCCATGAAGCCCTCCAGGCTCACTCCAGGCCTGCTTTCCCCACTCCCATCATGTTAGCCTGGGCTGTCCCTGCTCTGCCCCTGCTCTGCCACTCACTGCTCAGCTCTAAGCAGGACCCCAGGAAGCAGAAGCTTGGAGGATGACTCACCTTCACCTGGAAGAAGGCATCCTGGGCACAGTACCGGATGTCACAGGCGGTGATGAGGTCCACACCTGGGAAGCAAAGGCCAGAGACCCTAAACCACAAAGACCAACCCCTCCTCACAGGTGCTGGGACTAAACCTTGGGACAAAGTCTAAGTAGCAACAGATCTGAGGTTGGAGGCCATTGATTGAAGTGAAGGGGCAGCAGCCAATAGGCGTGCACAGCCAGGGTGAGGGCCCAGATGGCTGGTGAGCAACTGTAGACTTACCTCCGCCAATGCAGGCCCCATGGATGGCCGCAATCACCGGCTTAGGACACTGGGAGGGAACAGGAGACTTGCGGTCAGGACTGGCCCAGGAGAGGTGCACAGAGGCAATGCCCTACCAGCCCCCAGGGGCACCTTCTCGATGACACTGAAGGTCTCTTGATATCCGGTGATAAGGTTACGCAGATGCCAGCTGCTGCGGGCCACATCATCGCCTCGGGGTTGAAAGAAGTCCGAAGCGAGGTCCATGAGGTCGATACCTGGTGTGGAGGTGTGAGGAGGCTCACATGGCCTCCCAGGCCCCACCCGTTGCCCCAGATAGAGGTCAGAACCCAGACTCAGCCGATGTGGAACCCCAAACGGCCTCAGCAGAGAGAGCAACTCACACAAGGCTTATGGAGGAATTGAACATGGGTGTGTGTGAAATAAAAAACAGCTGACATTTCTTGAGTCATTATTTGACAAATTGCTGTTTATCCCCAGGGCAACCCTATGACATGGGTCCCACTACCACCTCGATCCTACCAGGGGTAAACTGAGGCTCGGGGTGTTTAAGTAACTTGACCAAGGTCACACTGGCTTGTGAGCAGTGGAACTAGGATTCTGAACTCAGAACCATAAGCTTTTTATGCAGAACAGTCTAGGAGTCAGGTTTTTGGCATGAGTCATTGAGTCGGTGGGTGGGAGTGTTTCCTGAGAGAGAAAAACCAGAAATGAAGCAATTTTTGTAGCTCCAACTGCAAGATAACCCCAAATCTGACCTTTCCTCCACTAATCACTTTCCATGACTCCTACTCTGGCTACTGCCATTTGCTGGGCCTCCCTGTTCCCACCCCAGCTCCCACAGCCTGTTCCCCACCCGTGGCCACAGGGAACTTGTGAACACCTCTCTTCCTACCTCCCACTCCACTTAAAATATAATGCAGGGTCTTTCCCAAGATCTTACCAGCCCTGTGCACACACCATTTCCGACCTATTCCTTGGGGGACACACGCCTCCGACAGTTGTCCCAACAGCACAACACATTCCCTCCCCGGGGCCTTTGTGCCTCCAGCTCCCTGTGTCTAGGACAGTCCTCACCCTGCGATAGTCACAAAACTGACTCCATCTCTGTTCAGTCCACAGCTCAAAGGTCACCTCCTCAAAGAGGCCCACTCTGGGTAAATAGCAGCTCCATCACCCTGTCTCCTTCCTCTGCCTCATCTCCTACACTGGCCTCCCATCAGCCCATCACTCTGTGCTTGTCAGCTTCAGTCAGCGCCCATCTCCCTTCTAGGATGTGAGCTCCGTGAGCAGACAGGTTTCGTCTTTTTGTCTGCCACGTATCCCCAGTGCTTAAACATGGCCTCGCACACAGCAGGTACTCAGATAGTGAAGAAGACAGACAACAACCCCTGCCCTCATAGCACTGCCCTTCTAAGGGAGAGTCACAGGGAGAAGAAAACACATTTTGTCAGGTGGTGGTTGAGTGCTGACAAAGGCAGAGGGGCCTCGTGGGCCAAGGGGCAGACTTCCCTTCTACTCAGGGTGAGGTAGGGCTACGGGAAGCTTCTGAGCAGAATCATTTCTTTCTTACTCCTGGGGTTAACCGTTTGTATCCTTTTGCCTGTCCTTTGAACAGGGATATTTAACAAACCTGATGAATCAATCCCACATTCGGCCACACCCCCGCTCTGAGGTTTTGTTGCCCCCATAGCTTGTTTAAATGAGTGAGACCGGAGGTGCGTTGGCTCAGGGTAGAGCCGAATTTGTGTAAGTTAAGTGCAGGGCGAACTCCCTTGTGTGACCTCGGCAGTCGCTTATCCTCAGGGCCTTGTATTCCGTGTTTCTTCTCTGTAAGATGAGGGTAAAACCCTCCAAAGAGCTGATG